AAGAAGAAAAGAACCGCCCCCCCCGCGGGGGGGGGGGGGGGGGGGATGGCCATGCCACAATCCCTTCTCCATTCTCCTCTCAGTCCTCTCAGTGGGATCTTAGGCACGCACGCACATGTGCCTGGCGTGAATGTAAGCCACTGGGTCTGGGACTCGAACCGCGGTCAACTACATGGGAGCCCAGCAACATAGCCATTATGCCAGCTGCTAGTCCCTGTGAGCTTCCCTTCTTTAAGAATAACTTAAGGGAACCAGCAGTTAGCGTAATGGCTATGTCGCTGGACTCCCACGTAGTCGACCACGGTTCGTGTCCTGGACCGGTGGCTTAAAACTCCCGCCGGGCGCGTGTGCATGTGTGCCCAAGATCCCGAGAGGAGAACGGAGGAGAAGGGATTGCGGCGTGACCATCCCCCCTGGGGGGTGATTTCTCGCTTTCTGTCTCTATGCCTCTCTCTGTCTGGCGAGCGCACGCGCCCTACAGTGAAAATCTCTCTCCAAAAAAAAAAAAGAATAACTTAAGAGCCACTTTTTTTTTTTTTTTCTTTCCCCTGTAGGAATCTTGTGGCCCTGGACTTTGGACAAGTTTCTAGGTGGCCTAACTTTACTTCTGCTGTAGCCCTAGTTGCTTTTACATTTTCGGAGTAGCTTTTGAGTTAACGTCTTGGGTTAGATCCCTTTCATCTCATGAATGGATAAACTTGGAGTCTTGATTGTGGTGTGGCACAGGTGAAGGATTTCAGCAGCTCCAGGCCAAGGGTCAGCAACCAGATCCTGCCCAGCCTGCTCATGCATCATCTCAGGCTGTTTTGGCAGGACAAGGGTACAGGTGACAGTTGTGAAGGAGACCCATGTATCACAAAGCTGGAAGTGTTTCATCTCTGGCTATTGATAGAGACAGTAGGGCCGTGCCGTCCCAGGGTGACATTTTTCCCTCTCCGTGACTCTGGGCAGATGGCAAGCCTCTCTGCAGTTTTCCCAGCATGAGAACAGCCATCTAATTCCCATTGCAGGCCCTGGGCAGCACGTCAAGGTTCCTGGTTTCTGCAGCATCCATTGGGGGTGTTGGACTCCACAGCTCCCCTTCAGCTTTGTGATAAGCCCCAGTGCCTACCGCTGTGTCCTGAGTCTGGCCCCACAGACACGCCATGGTGCCAACTCCCCTGACCTCTCTGGTTTTCAAGTCTCTTTGTTTCTGGCTGTGGGCACTTATCTTTCCTTTTAAGCTCATTAAATTTTCTGTTATGTTTTGTCCCAAATTATGTGTGTTTGTAGAGCATGGGGAGCTCTTTTATCTCGCTACTAAATAGGAAACTCCCAATGCTAATTCATTTTTTATAATCAGATTTTATTCAATTTTAGAATGAGTTGCAGAAGTTCATGGATGTTACATTTGAAAAGATTCAAAATACAAATCAAGCTCTGACTATGTTAAAGAAATTCGAAAGGTAAAATTTTGAAATAATTTCCCTGGTTCCATTTTGTGAAATTGAGGTAATATGGACATATTGGGTCATCAGAAAAGTAATGATTTTTTTTCTATGCAAAAATGGGTCATGACTTTTACAACAGTTTAGCTTTTGCTATTATTATTACTATTATTTTACATTCTAATGGAAGGAAAAGCCTCTCTTGACAATCTGGGTTACAGAGTCACAGTTTTTAAATTCTTCAGAGGATTAAGAGTATTAATCCTTTTAAAGATTAAGGATTCATTTTATTTCTGTAGGGAATACTCAACTTTAAAGTAACTTGTGACTGCCTATAGTAATATTTGCTAATGTTGTTATTTGAAAAAGTTCTTGAGTTAATTGTTTCTCCTATATTTTAAAGATTGATACTATTTTGTTTGTTTTTTTTACATGGCACACAAATATCGCATTCTTTCCCATTAGCACAAATTAAAAAAAATATTAATAAATGAGATAACTATATGTCTTTCCATTCATACACATCTTTTGCTTTTTTAAAAAAATTAGATTGAATATACCTAATCTTGGTATTGATGAAAAATACCAACTTGTCCTCAAGAACTATGGGGCTGACATTGATATGATTTCAAAGATGTACACAAAGCAGAAATATGATCCTCCTTTGGCTCGAGACCAGCCCCCCATCGCTGGGAAGATTTTGTGGGCTCGGCAGCTCTTTTACAGGATTCAGCAGCCCATGCAGCGGTTCCAGGAGCACCCAGCTGTGCTGGGGACAGTGGAAGCCAAGCCTGTGATTCGCAGTTACAACAGGATGGCCAAGGTGCTGCTGGAGTTCGAGGTCCTCTACCACAGGGCGTGGCTTCATCAAGTGAGTCTGCTAGGCCTCTATGAGAGGTCGCTGCTGTCTAAAGAAGGAGAGGCCCTCTTCTAGCATGCGATGGTGTTATTCCTGTAGAAAGTAGGATTTATGGGTATTTTATAAGGCAGTTTGGTTGAACCTAAATAACCAAAAAATGTAATATGTCCATGAAAAATAATAATAATTATTTTTGAAAAAAAATCATAAGCCAGTTAACTGAAACCTATTTTTATTTAATTTACAAATGCCTACATGAGAAGATCCTATTTATTGAGTTCCTCTACCTGATGGGTTAGGGTTTCCTTCTTTTCAAAATTCAGTAAGATTCAGTAAAAACCAGTAAATCTATTAAACAAAGTCTTAAATTTAATTTTTCCCTATCAGTGAGATTGTACCCTACCAATGCTTACAGTTCTTTGGAGAATGGCAGGAACTAATGTGTCTCTGTAGCTGTATTCATTGCTTTTCTAGATAACTGAAAATTGAACTTAATGGAATTTATGTTTTCTTAGGAAAAATACCTGACTAGGCGCAAAGGTATCAGGGAACTAGATGGCATTTGAGACATCATGGCTTTTGCACTGTCCACTTATCTGTCAGGTGTGAGAATCCTGTCTGGAATACCTTATTGAGTTGACTGTGGAACATTATCACCAAGAACTTGAAGACTGTTTTCTGAGGGTGAATTTATAGGATGAGTGGGTGACCCTCATTGCTTTAATTTAGGAGGCTCAAATCCATAGGCTAGCACTGAGTGATCCTCATTTCCAGAAACACGAAATGAATGCCCTGGGTTTGCATTGCCCTTTCTAATAGGAATAATGTCGATTTCTTCCCACAGATTGGAGAGATTCACATAGGTCTTGAAGCTTCTTTACTGGTAAAGGCCCCAAGCACAGGGGAATTGTTCGTAAACTTTGATCCTCAGTTGTTAACCTTGTTTAGAGAAACAGAGTGCATGTCACAGATGGGTCTGGAAGTTTCACCATTTGCAGCTGCCCTCTTCCAGAAACGGGATATATACAAAAAGAACTTCAGTAACATGAAGGTACAGTACTTTCTGGCTTGCTCTAAGATGTATTAAAAATAAACATGAAAGAAAACAATAATGTGTCACATTTGCATCTGGGATGATTGGACTGGGGTGAGTGAGGGGGAACGGGGCCATGGAATGAGGTCCAGAATTGGCTACAGCCAGGCCATTACAGATCTTGTTGACCAAGATAAGAAGTCTGGGTTTTGTTTTGAATGCACCAGGAACCATTGGAGGATTCTGAGCTAGACAAAAAGTATGACCTCTTTTGTAATAAATAAAATTCTTGCTTCTGGGTGGAAATGGATTTCAAGGGGGGAGAAGACTATCAGCAAGAAGTTGATTTGTGGGTGGTGGTGGTGGTTTGAACTAGGATGACAACAGAGTTGATCAGAGCATTTAGAGTGATGTAAGCAGATAGGTTATGACATAACTCAAGGATAATTCCTGTTTTTGATGTGAAGAACTTAGAAAATTGAAGTAAGACCACCATGTACTGCTACATAATAACATTCAGTGGCCCTGAGCCAGCCCTGTAGCATAGTGGTTAAAGGAGCTAGATCCCATATGGCCAACCATGGTTCACTGGCCTGGAGTCTTAAAAAGCATGCCTGATGGGATGGAGAACTGGAGGAGAAGGGATTGCAGCATAACCATGTCCCACTTGGCGGGGGTTTAGCACCCGCCCCCCCTCCCCCCCCCGTTCCTCTCTCTCTTCCTCTGGTGAGTGAACATGCCTTCTATAAAATTAAGTGACATTGTCAAGGTCTCATAACTGGTAAGTGGCAGAAGTAGGGCCAGAACTCGGACTTCAGTTTTCCCAGCATTTCATGCTACATTAAAAAGTTAATATTAGTGAGATCAGCAGGTGGTGGAAAGGTTATGTCACTGGACTTCCATGTAGTCGACTGCAGTTTGAATCCCAGACCAGTGACTTAAAACTCACACTGGGCACATGTGTGTGCATGCCCAAAATCCCAAGAGGAGAATGGAGGAGAAGGGATTGTGGTATGGTCATCCCTGCCCCCCGCCCCCAGGGGGGGTTGTTTCTCACTTTCTGTCTCTCCACCCGGGGGGGTTGTTTCTCACTTTCTGTCTCTCCAGTGAGGATAGATGCACTATAACAAAAATCTCTCTTAAAACAAACAAACAAAAAGTTAATATTGGCAATGGGGAGACATTTTTCGAAAGACTTATAAAATACTAGTCAGTATGTTGGAATTGCTGTTTAGACTTTACTTGCACATTAGGAAAATCACTCCATTTACACACTTAAAATGTGTTTTTACTAAGGACTAGTAATTGTAAGACTGTGATATTACTAGTGTTCATTTTGCTCACAGAATTGTTTCAGTTATCTCTTATGGTTCTCTTGCTAGCAAACATGCTTAAAATATAATGACTTACACTGACCCTTTCATTATATATCATGACTTTGTGGGTAAAGAATTTGAGCAGGGCTTGGCTGTCCCATGACAAAGGTTTTTGGTGGTATTTAGTTGGCAGGTGTCTGACCTGGAAGGCCCAAGATGGCCTCATTTCATGTCTGATTCTTCAGTGGGGAAGGCTGGAAGCCTGACTCAACTGTGCCTATGAGCTGTTCATCTACACATGGCCTTCTAGTATGGAGGCCTCAGGATAGAACTTTTTTTTTTGGAGAGGTTTTTGCTATAGGGTGCGTGCACTCACCAGAAAGACAGAGACAGAGAGACAGAAAGCGAGAAATCACCCCCCAGTGGGGATGGCCACGCCACAATCCCTTCTCCTCCATTGTCCTCTCAGGATCTTGGGCAAGCACGCACACGTGCCTGGTGTGAGTTTAAGCCACCAGGTCCAGAACTTGAATTGCTGTGACTACATAGGAGTCCAGTGACATAGCCATTACACCAACTGCTGGTCCTAAGGATAGAATTTCTTATACATCAATTTAGGATTCCAAGAGCAAGCATTACAGTGAACAAGCAGGAAGCTGCATGGCCTTTATGATGACCTCAAATGTCTCACTGCATCACTTCTGTTTCGTACTCTTTGGGACTCTTCATAAGCCCACCCAGATGGAAGGGAAGGGCACATAGACCCTCAGACCCTACTCTATGTGGGGAGGAGGGTCAAAGAACGTTTAAAACCTACCACAATTGTAAATGGCAATTTAAGGATGTAGAGTATCCTCTGGTGGATGTTCATTGTGTTACAAGATTGGAGGAGTTAAAGGTTTCTGTAAAGCCTGAGAAGTGGTTAAAGTGGATCTATTGGCAGTTTTAGGAGACATCTGAAGTGTTGCAGTTATTGTACTCAGTATTCAAGGGTTTCCAGTCTTCTATAGATATACCAAAGCAGCTGAGAGTTTGATTTCTTTCTTTTTTTTTTTTTTTGAGAGGTTTTCGCTATAGGGTGCGTGTGCTCACCAGACAGACAGAAAGAGACATAGAGACAGAAAGTGAGAAATCACCCCCCAGAGGGGATAGTCATGCCACAATCCCTTCTCCTCCATTCTCCTCTCAGGATCTTGGGCATGCACGCACACACGCCCGGCGAGAGTTTTAAGCCACTGGGTCTGGCACGCGAACCATGGTCGATTACATGGGAGTCCAGGGACATAGCCATTATGCTAACTGTTTGTTTTCTTCACCTATCCTTTGGAAGACAGTTAACACCGGAAGGAGGTGTGCTAGCACCAGAGGATAGTCCTAAGTACAGATTCTGAAGCCAATTTGAGTTTTGTATTCAAACTGATATCTTTGGGTAAATTATTTTAACTTCCAAGACCCAGTTTTTCTTTTGTAACATAGATGAATAATATCTCTTGGGGTTAATGGATTAAAGGTGGGAAGTAGAAAGCCTGCTGGAGGCAGAGTCTAAGAACTACTTCCCAGATGGAATAAGTATGGACATTGAAAAATAGGCAAGGTGTGGATAAAAGCTTCAGGAAATGTATGCGTAGCTGCTAATACAGCCATCGAATTTAAAATTTTCTAAAGTGGCTTTCATGGAAATTGAAAGGATATTATAGAAATTGTGAGTAAGTGTTATGTGAAGGAAGGATTATGGAGCCCATTTGGGAAATGTTGAGTTTAGCAAAATTCTCGAAGTCCCTCAGGACGTCTTACTTCCTTACTGCGGGTTTCTCAGAATCATTAATATTAATCATGGCTGCCTAAGAGGAGAAATATTGTACATAGTACTTTTCAAACTTATCCATATGGGGGCTTTATTTTTTTCCCCCTTATAAAAACTGTTACGTTTAGGATGCCAAGGCAAACAAACACTCTGGAAAACATTTATGTAATACTAAAGTAATACCAACCCACACTTACAGATACAGGCTTAAAAGCAATTGTATCAAAGAAGCACATTAAAGTTACTTTCTTTTTTTAAATCATTTTTTTAGATTTTAATTTACATTTTATCACATGTCTTTACAGTATACATTTCTTTTTCCAACACAAATACCATGCAAGTAAGTGAAGACAAGGTTATTGCTATATACATTATCATCATCAAATAGCTTCTCATTTTTTGTCAATTAAGCATACTTAATTGGTGATAGTAGATGGTGATAGCAGTGGATACAGTCAGCAGGTCAGACATATGATCACTTTAGAAAATAGAGCAAATGGGATATCCTGATGGTTTGCATCTAGGAGTGCGAGAAGTCAAGGATGACACCTAATTTTGGCCTGTGGACTGTAAAGATGGAATCAGCCTTAGCTGAGTTGGACTAAATAGAGGTATAAACTAACTTATTTGCAAAAACAAAAGAATATTAGGTTAATCTCAATTTGGTCTGTTATTTGTACAAAGTCCCATAAGAACTCAATTTCTGAAGCAAGGCAACAGCTACTATTGTATTATTGAACTTATGAAAATAACCATCCTGCCATAAAATAAGAATGCTCACAGATATCTTCCAATTGCAAAGGGGTGAGGAAGGGAGAAAAGTTTATGTTTCAATTAAAAAAACCTCTTTTTTAGAAAAACAGGTTGCTGAACCCTACAAATGAAAAGAAAACAAAATTCCTTAAATCTGGAAGACAAAGCATAGAAGAAAATCAGTAATGTTTTAGAAAAAAAGTCATAGAATTCTATTTCACCAGTTCAGTCTCATGTAATCTTCCTTTTGTTGAATTTGCAGTGTTACTGTGGTCTGACTTTTCCATTAACATTCAACATTGTTATTGATATTTCAAAACTTGTTCCTACCATTAAGTTGGGTTTTTTCTTGGTCATTTTTTGTTCTCTTATTCATCTGTCTGTCTTTAGTTTTCCTGGGATTGTACTCCCTTCAGAACATCTCGAAGAGCTGGTCTGGTGTTGGTAAATTTTTTCAGGTTTTGTTTATCTAAGAATGCTTTTAAGCTTCTCTTTCCACGTGAAGGATAATCTTGCGGGATATAGTATTTTTGGTTGAAAGTGTTTTTCACTTAACACTTCAAATTTATTTTCTCATTCTTTCCTGGCTTGCATTTTTTCTGGTCAGAGGTCCAATGTTAGCCTGATGAGATATCCTTTGAAAGTAACTTGATGTTTTTCTCTTGCTAATTTTAGTATCTTGTCTCTGTATATGGTTTTGATCAATCTGGCTATGATGTGCTTTGGAGAAGATCTTCTTGGGTTGATTCTATGTGGGGTCCTTTGTATTTCTTGGGTCTGGATATTTGAGTGCCTCTCTAGGTTTGGAAAGTTTTCTTCCAGGATTTCATGGAATAGATTATCAATGCTCTGATTAGTTTGTTCACCTACTGGGATACCTATTATCCAGACGTTTGGGCAGCTAATGGTATCTATTATTATTTGTATATCATTCTTATTTTGGGGGGTTATTTTCTCAGTCTTTTTGGTGAATTTTTCTAGGCCAGAAGGTCTATCTTCTGCATCTGAGATTCCATCTTGTGCATGATCTAATCTGCTTTGAATACTTTCAAGGGAGGATTTTATTTACTGTATTACAGCCTTCATCTCTAATGGTTTCATTCGATTCTTTTTTTATGGTGTGTATTTCTTCTTTCAGATCCTGGAAGAACTTTCTCACCTCCTGGGACTCATTGTCTCTTTTCTACTGCATTTTCTGGAGTTTGTTGTCTCTCTTTTCTTGCATTTCTGTTAGCTTTGTCACTATGAATATCCTAAATTCTTTATCTGATGTTTCCATGAGTTCCATTGTATTATCTGTGGATGATGAAGGGCTGTTCTTTCCCCCTGGAGGAGAGATATTTTCTTAATTTCCCCTATTTCTTGTGCCTCAGTGGTGGTATTTTCTGGTCATCTGATGGATTATATGGTACTTCCTACCTTCTTGGAGTTAATTATGAGTTGTGCTGTTCTGACTTTTCTCTGGGTGCTGTATCAGAAGGAGAAGTGTGGGGCAGAGGCTTTCTGGTTAAAGTGGCAGGGCTAGGCACACCTCAGATGCACATGGATTCTCGCTTTTTGCTGAATATTGGGCTGGATGGAAGCAAAATTACTTTCTTGTAACTAAAAATTATTAATATTGACATCATCCTGAAAGCTAGGCTTAAAGTATTACTAGGTCTATTTAAAAATGGTAACATATGGGGCCAGTGGGTTTGTGTAGTGGTTGAGGTGTTGGACTCCCATATGGCCAGCCAGGGTTGGAGTCTTAGACCCTTGGACCCTGTGGCTTGAAGCTCATGTCAGGCACATGTGTGTGCATGCCCAAAATGCCAGGAGGAGAATGGAGGAGAAGGTATTGCAGTGTGGCCACCCCCTCAGGAGTGATTTCTTGCTTTCCCTCTGTCTCTCTGGTGAGTGCATGCATCCCCATGGTAAAAAACCCAAAACCTTCTCTCTCTTAAAAAAGAGAGAGAGAGAGAGAGAGAGAGAGAGAGAGAGAGAGTGAGAAGCAACATATGAACAAGGTACTAATGAAATTCAACATTATATAACAGGTAAACCTTAGTGGAGGACCACAGTCCATGAGTTTTAGATCACAAATATTCTTTTTGTTGAGAAATGATCATTGGAATGAGACTGATCATAGTGGATAGTACATTTTCATGGAAGTAATGCAAAAGTGATGAATAAAACCCTTGTGTTTGCCCCTGTCAGTAGCCTTCCTTTTTACCTCTTTCTATCTCCCTACTCCTGTTGCTATGTCCACCCCAACTTCAAATTATATTGCTATATTCTCTTTACGCTAGTTCTATTTACTAATATTGTAATAATGTTATAATAAGAATTCAATAAAGATATAGTGGTTAAAAAAGAAATATTCCTTCTGTGAACAATGAATTGATTAATTACAGAAATATTGATCTATCATCTCTTATAATGCCAGGTGCTATTTCAAGCACAACTTATATTCTATTTGGGAAAGGCAGGAAATAAGCAATAAATATAGTAAATGGATAAATTCTGTAGTTCAATGGAATAAACCAATAAAATGCTATGGAAAAAATAAGAGCAGGGCATAGAGTGTATGAGTGGGTTTTGGTGGTGTTTCACAGTCTTAAATATGTTTTTTAGGATAGGCCTACCTAACCAAAAGGGTAGCATTTGAACAGTTATTTGGTGGAAACACAAAGGCCTTGAGGCTAAGGACCAGCAAGATGACAATAGGGCAGAAGCAGGAAGAAAGGGAAAGAATTGCTGAATGGGATGAGATCAGAGAAGGAATGGGGACTAGGTTGGGTAGGTGTTTGTAGACCAAGAACCTACCCAAGCCCTTTCTATTAAGACTTGTACAAAGCTCTGAATTAGGTGGGAAGGCCTGTAGTCATGTAAGCAGAAGGGTGACATGACATGACATGACTTAACATTTTGAAAGGATCACCCCTGCTGCTAAATTGAGCCTAGAGAGGTACGGAGGTAGGGAGACAATGGTAGACCATTCTGGTAATTTAGGTGATAGTAGATGGTGATAGCAGTGGATACAGTCAGCAGGTCAGACATATGATCACTTTCGAAAATAGAGCAAATGGGATATCCTGATGGTTTGCATCTAGGAGTGCGAGAAGTCAAGGATGACACCTGATTTTGGCATGTGGACTGTAAAGATGGAATCAGCCTTAGCTGAGTTGGAGAAAACTATGGACAGACAGCTTTGATACAGAGAGCTACAAAGACTGCTCCCTCAACAAGGTCTTGATATTCAATCCAGCTTAGCTTCTGCCAGCCCCAGTTCATGGGCATCCACATACTTGGCATATTCAGAGAGGTCTCTGGACATGAAACCAAACCTTCCCATGTGGGTCAACCTTGCAGAGGGTTACATTTTACTACTGTGCGCTTGTTTTGACCTTGTTTCTCAATTTAAAAGGCCTAGTTTTCCATATCTATTGTATAATATCTTACTGATAGGGTTATATAAATAATGAAGCAAGAAGTACCATTTTTAAGCTGTTCCATAGGAATTGTACTAAAGTATAGGACCAGTAATTTTCTGGAAACTATAAATATTCACTATTTAATTTTATCTCCAAAGATTAACTACATATTTTCATTTATTTTTGTTTTTGGGTAGTACAGTATAAAAGGCTTTTAGAGTTACTTAGCATTATATACTAATAGGTTAATGTATTTTCAGATGAGAGATGTGGAAATTTGGATAGAGTAGAGAGCTAAACAACAGGATAAATGGGAAAAGTTGAAACAAACACTATTTTTATTTAATGAAGGATATAAAACGCTTTAAGATATATGTAAGGTGGTATATTCCATAAAGTACAATTTCTCAGGATATGTACAGATACACGGCACAAAAAAGGGGTCTGGTCTCAGATTGCCTGGTGAACCCAGTTTTAGCAGTCAGACAGTTTTTTCCCCTGGAGGACTTTTCAGAGCCTTTAATATGTCAATGACCAGTTGGTCTCCAAAAGCTGACTCCTGCACATTTCCTAGAAATCCTTGGTTACATTTTAGGAGGATACTAGTACTTAAGGAGCTCCTGTGGTAGACAGTGGAACACAGTTTAAACATGGAAACAGAGGGATTTTTCAGGATGATCTAAACATTGCTGTTCTCTCTCCTACCCAATGTCCTCTGTTTTCCTCTTCATCGCCCAGTTTTCCTCACTTCTCAATTCAGAGTCAGGCCTCCTCCCAAGAAGCCTACTCTGACTGCTCTCCTCTTGTAGTCACTTCCTCCTGTGACCTCCTGTTGTATTTGCAGTTGGGACCAGAGACTCTAGAGCTTGGCTGTCTTCTAATGGTTTAGTACAGTTTATTGTTTCTCCCCAGTTGGTTTGTAAAGGGCTTCTATTTCTTATACTTCTTTTGTGTTACCCCCAGTTGGGTGCTTAGTAGATGCCTCTACACTTATAGATTCACACAGGGTGAGCACACCTAATCTGAAAACCTGAAGTCCAAACTGCTTCAAAATCTGAAACATGTTGCATGTTGACATGACACCACAAGTGGAAAGTTCCACACCTAGACTCATGTGATGGGTCTCAGTTCAAACACTGTAATACAAAAATACTGCATAAAGCTACTTTCAGGCTTTGTGTTTAAGGTATATATAAAACATAATTAAATTTGTGTTTATACTCAGGTACCATCCCCAGGATAGCTTATTCTGTATATGTGCATATTCCCAAATCTGAAAACGTCTAACGTCTGAAAGACTTCTGCGTTTGAAATCTGATAAGGGATATTCAATCTGTGATTGCAATTGTGCTATGTAGTCAGTCTTGTTCCATTTCTTTATTATTTGAAATCTGAAGCATTTCTGATAAGGGATATTCAATCTGCGATTGCAATAGTTCTATGTAGTCAGTCTTGTTCCATTTCTTTATTTCTGTAACCTCATTTCTATCCCTTCATCCCGTCACCTCATTTCTGGGTTAGCCCTTCTTACGCCTCCTTTCTAGATACCTCTTGTGGTGTCTCCTGTTATCAACTCATTCTTTTTCTCTTTTCCTTCCTCGGGTCTTTCATTTGTCAGTTATTTGTGGCTGATGAGGCAGGACCTACTCTATTTATAACCCAAATTGTCAAGAGCTTGTTTTATCAGTAGACTTTCACTGTATCTCCCAATTAACTTCGGCTCAGAAGGGCCCAGCTCTTTAAATAACCTGGTGCTTTATAGTCAAGAATACTTTGAAAGTACTGGGTTGAGGGGGAAGTAGAATAAGAAATTGTGGTTGACCCCCTTATCTCTGCCTCCTTTATTTTGCCTTATAGATTGAGAACTGGATTCAAATAATTTATAAAGGGTTTTTTTTTTTTTGATTTAAATAAACTGTAATTTAGACTCACCACAATTTGATGGTTGGATAATTTAAAACTCATTATCATATAACCATGGCAATATAGGGGTTGAAGAATTGTAAAAATAATCTTAAATAAGATCCTTAATTTAAAGGATGGAAAACTTGTTCTAGGGAAATGCTAATTGACTTATTATGTTACATAGGTAGAAGCAAAAGGACGAGCTTAGGGCCCAGTTTCCCTGACTCTAAACTCATATTCTCTCCAGAATACCTCTCACCAGGAAGAAAACAAGGAAATTTGCTAAAATTCTCTAATGTGTCATTTATAAGTATATTTCATAATAAAGGTATACTTCATAATAAGACTTATCACAATCAAAATATTAGTAGTACAGGCTGCCAAGGTGGATTTTGGTAATATTCTCCCTAGAGAATATCAGGATTAGAGTGCTAACAATTTGCATGTTTTATTAGAATGTTAGCTGGAGACAAGGAGACAGTTTATAAAGAAACTCTTTTTTTAGTTCTTATATTCTTTTAGGTTTTTATTTTTATAATTTAAATTAAGAAACTAAAGCTGAGCAAAGATCATGTTTATTCAGGAGAGAAACTATGCTAAATCTCAGGAACAGTTATCTGTTGGTGATAATGTACACGGTAATATTTTTGATGACTAATATGCACTGTATTCATGCTGGGAAAAACCGTGTTAAACACTCTGAAGATGTACATTGATTAAATGTAAATAACAAAATCTCAAAAATAGTTGAATTCTTTATTGAACTCATGAGCCAATCCTTCCATTGGGTTGTCAGAAAAGTCATGATGTATTTTTCTATGCAAAAATGCATCGCAATTTTTCCAAAACCCAGTATTTACAAGTGTTGATTTATATTATGCATTTAAGAGAGTATTAACATTATTTTCTTCCTACCGACCTGAAAAGAAATGACTTGTTCCCTGTATCTAAAGTGACATTCTTTTTTTTTGGGGGGAGAGGTTTTTCTCTATAGGGCGCATGCGCTCGCCAGACAGACAGAGAGAGACATAGAGACAGAAAGCGAGAAATCACCCCTCAGGGGGGATGGCCATGCTGCAATCCCTTCTCCTCCATTCTCCTCTCGGGATCTTGAGCACGCACGCACACGTGCCTGGTGTGAGTTTTAAGCCACTGAGTCCAGGACACGAACCGTGGTCGACTACGTGGGAGTCCAGCGACATAGCCATTATGCCAACTGCTGGTCCCCTAAGCATAGTCTCCTTAATCACTTTCCCTCTGCCCTTCAGCTTCTGTAGTCATATTGTTTCTGTTTCACTCTGACTCTCCTTCCTCTTATAAGCTCCCCTGTGACTACATTGGCCCCACCTGGTAATCTAGGCCAATCTCCACATTACGAGGTTTTTAACTTGATGATACCTGCCATTCAAGCTAAAATTCATAGGGGATTGGGATGTGGACATCTTTGGGGCTATTTTCCAGCTAACCACAGATGTCTTTGAAGAATATATCCATTAGAAGAGTGAAGAATTGTATTGAGCACATATGAAACATGCTTCAAGTGTTGGCTCTCTTTAGTAATGAATAAGTTCACCAGGTAGAGTTATTTGGTATCTTGAATGGCCTCTTTAATAACTAGTTTAGATATGCTTAAAAACTTTTAGGGTTTTATTCTTTAGAAAGTATAGGTATTGGGACCAGCAGTTAGCGTAATGGCTATGTCGCTGGACTCCTATATAGTCGACTGCGGTTCGAGTCCCCAACCTGGTGACTTAAACTCACGCCGGGTGCGTGTGCATGCGTGCCCAAGAGCCTGAGAGGAGAATAGAGGAGAAGGGATTACAGCATGGCCATCCCCCCTGGGGGGTGATTTCTCGCTTTCTGTTTCTCTCTGTCTTTCTGGCAAGCATATGCACCCTATGGCAAAACCCTCTCCAAGAAAAAAAAAAAAAGAAAGGAAAAGAAAGGAAAGGAATTTATTTAAGGAAGTGTATATGTATATGTCTCTGATATATCACAAGTATATGACATTGATTTTTCTGTATTTAATTTTCAATTTTATCTCCTAGGGCAGAGAAGTATTAGAACATTTTACTACATGGCATCTGTTGAGTAATGCATCATCCCTTAGATGGGAGATCCATTAACCATCATTCCTGGTTTTTATGTAAAGTTGTTAGTTTCTTTCAGATGTAGCCTTTTCAACCATGAAACTAGTGTTCAATATTACTTCAGCCCTACTGAAAAAAAAGTACCTTTAAAAAAATTTTTTTTTAGAGAAAAATTTTTGCTATAGGGTGTGTGCATTCACCAGAGAGGCAGAAACAGAGACAGAAAGCAAGAAATCACCCCCCCCCGCCCCCCCGGGGAGATGGCCACACTACATGGGAGTCCAGCAACATAGCCATTATGCTAACTGCTGGTCCCTGAAGCCTATTTATTTTTTCTTTTTTTTTTTAATTTTTTATTTCAATTTATTTATTTACATTCATTCACTGTACATCATTACAGCATACAAAATGAGATTTTCCATCTAGAATACACTGTATTTGGCTCAATCAAGCACATCAACATACGTGTTATCATCAACAAATAATTTTTCATTTCTTGTTTCCTGTATCTTTTGCTTTTTTCCCCATCCTTGATTCCCTGTCTATCACCCTCTGCCGTCTCCACCCTCCTCCCACCCTGTCTCCATGGTTGCTCCCACCTCCCTCCACTGTCTCCATGAATGCTTCCTAATCCCCCCCCCCCCCCCCCACACACACACATTTTATCGATTCACTAAAGATCTTAATTAATCTAACTATTTTGAATAACAAGCGCAGCTGATATATACACATCCATGAACACAAAGTCTGACTAGGCATAAACCTCAGTGAGTAGAATGAACATGCTATAAAGTAGCACCTAGCTGGGGCCATATATCTTACTGCAGTCATCAAATAGGTATTTTTAATGCATTTTTTTTAATTTCAAGAAAAACAGTTTTAGGTTTTGTTCTTAAACTTTTTTCTAACTTAATTAATTTGCTTACTCCCTAAGCATCATCACAGCATACAAAATGTGATTTCCCATCCAGAATATACTGCTTAGTGTCTTAATCATTCATGTTATCATCAAGTTTTCAATTTCTAGTTATATATATATATATTTTTTTTTTCCCCCCCTGTTTCTGACCCTCTGTCCTTCCCCACCCTCTTCTCACACTATCTCTGGTGTCTATAGTTGTCTTCCATTCCTTTTCCCCCCACATTGTATTGATCACACAATTTGTTAAATAATCTAACTACTTTCAATAGCAAGTTCAGCTGGTAATTTAAAAAAAAGCAGTTTTAACTTAAGTTTTAAGCCACCAGGTCTGGGCCTCAAACTGTGGTCAACTATGTCCAGCGACGTAACCATTATGCCATCTGCTGGTCTCTGAAAGCAGTACCTTTAACTACCTTTTCCATTAGAAAAAACAACAATGAAAAACAAACAAATGGACCTTTTTATACTTAGCAGTGATGATAGTAACAGTGAAACAGTATTTGGGGAGCTTTACTTCAGTAGTATTTGTTGGATACCTCCTGCAGAATGGGCCCTGGGTTAAATGTTGAAGACTAGGATGAAAAGGTGAACTCAGAAGATGAGACACACAAGTTGACAATCTTGTGTATGTGGAGAGGGAAGGATGCTCCCGCTGCAGTGGCAGCACAGGAGGAGACACGTGAACACACGCAGATTCACAGACGCCTCCTGGGGAGATGCTCTTCAAGCACACGTCAGAGTTAGGCCCAGAGCTGGGAAACTGGTGCAATAAGGGACAATGTGGGACAATCAGTGTCAAATAGCAGTCTGTGTTGGGGAAGCAGAAACTGAGACTTTAATCCTGATTTTACTATTGTCATTTTACTCAGTGTTGAATTTTTTTTTTTTTTAAAGCCAGATTGCTTGCCTAATCTCTTGTATTCATGTCTCTCCCTCCCCCCCCGCCCCCACCCCAAGAGGACCTGGAGTTGCTGCTTGACAGGGTCAATGATTTGATTGAGTTCCGCATTGATGCCATTCTGGAAGAAATGTGTGGCCTGCCTCTTTGTCAACTACCCCAAGAGGAGCCACTTACCTGTGAAGAGTTTCTCCAAATGACAAAGGTTATTGGAAAACGGTTATCTTTTACTAAAAATTTTTTTGTGATTCATTTTTTTATAAAGGGTGTTTTTTTTTGAAGCCTAAATTATATTTTTTCCTTCTACTTGTGATGCTCTGTGATAGACGTGATCCAAATGTAGAGCCTTCTGGCAATAATTTGAAAATGGAGAGAAATGTGTCTAAACAGTCACTTAGATATGAGGAAGAAATCATTTCCTTTCAGATCAGTAAGAAGAAAATGGCCATGGAATACATTCATTTTTCCATATTTTATGAAAAATAGATCTATTTTACAGAAGGGTATCTAGTAAGCTAGGGTTAATTAATAAAATAATTGAAGCTTTTTTTGAACAGGGTTTCTTCTTGAAACATTTCTGTGGAGCAGGGTTCCTCAAACGATGTTTCGTGACACACACTTTAAGAACCATTGCTAGGAAACCTGAAAAAAGGCAGATGCGTGCAAACTGTAGGGTCAAGGCTGCACTTGCAGCTTCACTGCATACCGACACATTAAGATGAAGTCCTCAGTCGATCTTTGTCTACTTCCCTGTAACCCATTACTTCTCAAACACATTTACACATGGGATGCCTTCTTTTTGTGTCAGGAGTGAGCTCCTGGAAGTGGTGCTCCATGAAGGGCCTCTAGGAATGTCAGTTTAGCATCATTTATAATATTCCTGATTAGCATGCTGATGATAAGAACTCTTCAATGATGATTTAATGTGGTGTGTCAAGGGTCCTCAAGACTACCACACTATCCCTACCCAATCTCTGACCTATCTCTTTGTCATAACTATCTTTTCTGTGACTGTTTTTTGAACTAGTGTTTAATTGAGAGGTAATTGGGTGAAGTTTCGAACTGGAAGTGAAGTTATTTATTTATTTTTTATTGCAAGAAGGTGTGTATGAGAGAGAGAGAGAGAGAGTGAGAGACAGAGAGAGAAGAGAAGGCCCCCCTAATGGGGTGTGATCATGCCCAAATCCTTTTTCTCTATTCTGTCAGGATTCTGGGCATACATGCAAATGCGTTCAGCATGTTTTTGAAGCTACCAGGGCCAGAATTTGAACTGTGGATCCAGCATCCTCGACTGCTGGGCTGTAGGATGGCCAGTCTGGGAGTGAAGTTATTTTATACTTTATTTGATGATAAAGAAGTTTAATGGGGCCAGGGGGTGGCGTGGTGGTTGAAGTGCTGGACTCCTACATGGCCGACTGTGGTTTGAGTCTCGGACTGAGTGGTTTACTTTCTCACTTCTCTCTCTCTCTCTCTGGTGAGAGCATGTGCCCTTTAGCAAAAATTAAAGTAAATAAATAAGTGAATAAAATTAAATAAATCATTCTTTGGGAAAAAAAAGTTTAATAATTTGTTTCAGAACATCTAACAATGTTTTCGTGTTAATGGAATTAACATACTACATACCTGGTAGCAGTGGAAAGGCGGTGAGGGTCACTGTGATGACGAGGTAACAGTGCAAGGAGGCTGATGTTGAAGCAGATGGCCCGCAAACACAGTCGAGTCTCTAGATGTAATGGTAGAACTTGGAGTGGAGCTGGAGACTGTAGGCAAGTGACCGAGTTTATTGTTTCTTAGACTTATTTTTCAACCATATTGCAAAAATGCATAGATGATTCTCTCTACACCATCTCTGTCTGTCTATGTGTGTCTGTGTGTATGTATCTATCATCTCTCGCAGAACTGATCCCAGTACCCCAAATCATGTTAGTTTTTATTTGTTAAATCTCATTCTTGAGTAAAGTCATCTAGTTAGAAAGGAGGAGAATATCTTTGAAGTTAATTAGGAGCTAACCTTATAGCTTGTTAGCAATGATGAGGAGAAAGAAGATTGGCTAGAGATCTGTGTAAAAGGTGAAAAGTTTATATGATCTGGAGAGAAACCACCACAGTATGAATCTCCATATTTTGGAGGTGTTTTCTTTGCTGCTGGAGAAGTTAGTGTAATTCCAGTCCACACTGCTCCAGTTGGCTCCCTTCTCTTACTGTATTTTTCTGCAGGATATCTGCCTGGACTAATGTGAGGTATGGCCACGTGTCACTGGAGGACAAAACTCACTTAGAAGCTGAACTATGAAACTGCCACCTTTACTTATGTGCTCTCAAGAGCTGGAGAATGACGACAACTGTTCTAATTTTTTTTTTTTATTGTTGATGTTAGGATCTTTGTGTAAAAGGTGCTCAGATTCTACATTTTAAAAGTTCATTAGTGGAGGAAGCTGTCAATGAGCTAATAGATATGTTGCTGGATGTGGAAGTTTCATCTAAAGAAAGTGAGAAAGTACTCAATGAGAATAGTGTTGATTCAAAACTCGCAAGTTCAGGTAAGAGCTGGGGGTAATGAAAGAGCCTTATTTATTCTTGTACACTTACTGAAAACTAAAATTCAATTTTTCACATAGCAATTAACTTCACACTTCTATAAACACCCTCTCACTTTTATAATGTTATTTATAAATCTAAAATTTTAATTCTGAGCATACTGCATTGGTTATATATGAACTCCTCTTTTTTATGGTTGAACTCTGTAAACATGTACAGATGCTTCTTGACTTATGATGGGGTTATATCCTGATAAGCCTGTCATGGGTTGAAAATATGATTTAAGTAAAAAATGCACTAATATGCCTAATCTACTGAACACCATGGCTTAGTCTAGCTACCTTAACCATGCTCAGAAGACAAACATTAGCATATACTTGAGCAAAATCATCTAACACAAAGCCTATTTTAAAGAAAATGTTGGATCTATCATGTAATGAATTGAATAGTTCATTGAAAGTGTAAAACAGAATGGTTGTATAGGTATTTGAAATATGGTCTCTACTGAGGACATATGGCTTTCATACCATTGCAAAGTCTAAAAATCACTGTATTAAAGTCAAACTATCATTAAATCAGGGACCCTGTGTATTGGCCTTTGTTAGTTTCCTTTGCATTTATGTATGGATGGGATTTCATTTCACCTTTTCAATAGTGTGGAATGAATTATATATAGAATTCCTCTTAGAGAACATCTAGACTAGACTAGAGCAAACCTTCTGTGGGACGAAGACACTAAGATTCAGAACAAAGAAGTTAGTTCCTCAAGATTTTAGGGCTATTGATGAGAGAGTTCCAGTACCTAGGCCTATGGAGCCCAGTAGACCTTTTCCAGTTATGACTTTTCTCTGTCTCTCTTTTATTATTATTGATGGTGTCTGTGCACCTATATGAGAAAGAGAGAGAAGAGAAGAGAAGAGGAGAGAGAAAGAAGAGTACCTCTAAAGGCTCTGGTTGTGCTGCAATCCTCTTCCCACAGTTCTCTAGCTAGTCAGATCTTGGGCACTTGCACAAGGTATGTTAAAAGGTGTGTTTCAGGCTGTTCAGGCTGAATGGGCCAGATATTTGAGCCATGGTAACCATATGGGATATGGCTTTTCTTAAGCAGTGCATTATTGCTGTGCCACAGAACTGACCCTCCTATCTCTCTTGTTGGTTATTTTTTCACATTGAATAGGAGTGGCCTCCATCAGTCCATCTGGTGGTCTGATTTCATCTTCCTGCTCTTTGACGGCCTCCCTTCCTAGGAAGTGTGATGTTTAAGTGATACTGTGCTTGCATGAAATTTGTCTTAATTTACATTGCTTTAATTGCAAAAATGAATCAATCTACCTACCTATCTACCTATGTATCTAATATATCTCTATCTCTTTTATCTTGTAACAGCTAAAAGAGAAGAAGAAAATTTTGATACTTTGACATCTTCTTTTAATGCCGGGACTGGTTTCCTGCCTTTGACAATGATAGCAAGAAAGAAGAAAGAGATTGAGATGTTAGAGGAGGAAGCCTGCGAAATGCTCTCTCATTTCAATCATCAAAACATAGATGCGCTTCTGAAAGTTACAAGGAATACACTAGAAGCCATTCGCAAACGTATCCAGTCCTCCCACACAATTAACTTCCGGGGTAATAGCTCTACAGGGTCTGCCCACTGGCTGATAAGGAATAGTTTCTGAAGTGTGTGTGTATATTCCTGTCAAATTTAAATAACTGAAAAAAAAAAAAAAAACCCTACCATCTATTGAGTGGCCCCTTGTAAATTTAACATTATGGGACCAGTAGATGGCCTAGCGGTTATGTTGTTGGAATCCCATGTAGTTGACCGTGGTTTGAGTCCCAGACCCAATGGCTTAAAACTCACACCGGGCACATGTGCGTGTATGCCCAAAATCCTGAGAGGAGAATGGGAAGTAGGGATTGTGACATAGCCATCTCTTCAGGGGTGATTTCTTGCTTTCTGAATCTGTCTTTCTGGTGAGTGTATGCATCCTATTCCAAAAATCTCTCTCTAAAAAAAATTATGAACTTTGGTCATCCCAACAATTCCATGAAATGGGTACTATTATTATTCTCCTGTTGAAACAGAGAAAACTCGAGCACTGAAAGGTGAAGTAGGGTCTGGTAGGTAGTGTGGTGGTTCAGGTGGCTGAACTCCCACATGGCTGACTGTAGTTTGAGTCCAGGACCTGGTAGCTTGCTTTATCACTTTCCTTCTCTCTCTCTGGTCAACTTTAAAAATAAAATAAGATAAAATAAAATAAAATAATGATAATGAATAAAATTAAATAATTCTTTAAAAAGTGAAATAATCCATATAAAGCTACTTAGGTTTTGTAAATATAAAATATCATTTTAACCTTTTTTAATAAGATATGTATATTATGTATTTTATGTAAGATGAATTATTTTAATGAGAGAAAGAAAAAACACACCTTTAAAAGAAGGTATGTGAAAAGATTATTTATTACTAAATTGTTGGGTTGTCTACAAATCTTATGAAGTGGAAAAGCTCTTATTAATGTCAGTCACTTCAAAGCAAACATTTTTTATTTTTTATTTTTTTACAATTTTTTTTTTAAACCAACTTAATGCTTTCCAGATGGCTTCCTCGCTTTAAACACCTTCATTTTTTCCTCAGCATCATTTGGAATTAGGTATTATATTTTTCAGGTGTGCACAAGAATTCATCAAATCTAGTTCTGAAATTTAATTTTAAATAAAAAATAGTAAAACAGTAATTAATTAAAATGGAAAGATAATAGGATAATTAACTCTTTATTTTGAACATTGACATTTAAGGGAAAGCATCTTTAATATTTAATTAAAAGTGAATAAACAAAAGTGGCACAATGTACAATGTTTCATTTCACTGCAGAAAGGAGAGAGGTCCTTTGACATAAATATATTATTAAAACTTATCAAATGTTTGGGCCAGCAGGTAGTGTGATGGTTAAGGCACTGGACTCCCATAGGGCCCACTGTGGTTTGAATCTTGGAGCTGGTGGCTGGTGGCTTGCTTCCAACATATCTCTGTGTCTCTCTGGCAAGCACATATGCCCTATAACAAATTAAAATATAATAATAAATAAAATAAATAATTCTTAAAATAACTTATCAAATGTTGATTGATTTTCTAATTATTAAGTCACAGTTATTTCTCAAATTTATATATTACAGGCATTCCTAACTATGTAAAGTTATATATGATACACAGGCACACATACATTTTTATCCATAATATATATCCACACTTATCTCTTGCTTTAAAAGTCTCTTTGGTAAGAATGGTGAGTTGCACTGCTTTTCCTTTTTTAAACATTTAATTTATTATTTTAAAATTTGCTATGGGGCACATGTGCTCATGAAAGAGACAGAGACAGGGAGACGGAGAGAAAGTGAGAAAGCAAGCCTCTAGGTCGTCTGGGACTCAACTATGGTTGGCCATGTGGGAATTCAGTGGCTTATCCACCGTGCCACATGCTGGTCCCTCTTCTCCATTTTTTAAACCATTCCTTTGGCATATACATGCTGCAATAGAGAAAACATGTTTTAATTGAAATTCCAAAGTGGCTATTTGTTTTAACTTTGGCTTGTTCTGGTAGTCATTCTTGTTCTTTTTCCCTTCCTTCCTTACTTTAGGCTACTTTGTGAGTGTCCTGTTATCTGAATATTATCTTTTGTATTTTTAGATAAGAGTTTATTATTATGCCCGATCTCACGCAATGGGTTTCCTTTATGGAGTGCACACTAACAAATTATAATCAGCAGAAAACAGTTTAAGTTCCACCGAACTTCTTTTCTATTGAGCGAAATTGGATCCTTTATTAGATTTCACTTTTTTATTCAACAAATATTTATTTGATTATATATGTATATGCATTGTTCTCAGTGCTTTGATTTTTCTGGTTAACAGTGTACTAAAAATATTAATGCTCTCCTGTTCTGCGATAACTCAGACAGTAACAGTGCATCTAAGATGAAGCAGAGCAGTCTGCCCATTTTCCGGGCGAACGTCACTCTGGTCATTCCCAACATCACCATGGTCCCTGTTCTGGAAGACATACAGCAGGCACTGAACAAAGCTGTGGAGTGCATCATCAATGTCCCCAAGGGGGTCAGACAGTGGGGCACTGAGCTGTTGTATAAGGTTAGTGCGAAATGAAGAACTTATTTCATATGGAAGCTGCTGCTTTTACAGATGAGCCAGAGTCAAAAAAAAAATATCCTTTCATGTTGTAGAAAAAGATGCATGAAAGAAACATGGCTGCTTTAGAGAATAATGAAGACAGTGATTCTGATGCTGATATAGGAGAACATGAACTTCAAGGTAAATATTCTCTTCTTTTTATATGGTAATTGCAAATCAACATTTATTGAGCTTAAATGCATTCCTTCTACTCATGAGATTTTCAAATTATACTTGACCAAAATATTAATCTGTGATTCAGTTTTAAGCTTGCTAAATGTTAAGATCCACGATAGTCCATTATCACCATGATAGTCAACTTCCAGTGGGTACATCATACCTGTTGATGCATCACTGATTTTTTTTTATTTTAAATTTATTTATTTAGATTCATTCAATGTACATCAGTACAGTATGCAATTTAAATGAGATTTTCCATCCAGAATACACTGTATATTGGCTCAATCAAGTATATTGCCATACGTGTTATTGTCAACAAATAATTTTCCATTTCCTGTTTCTTATATATTTTGCTTCTTTCTCCCCCTTCCTTGATTGCCTACTTCTCTCCCTCTGCCATTTCCTACCCTCCCCCCACACTGTCGGTGGTATCTACAGTTGCTTTCCACGCCTTTCCCCCCACTCCATATTTTATCAATTCGGAAAAGATCTTAATTAATCTAAATACTTTTAATAGCCAGTGCAGCTGATTTATACATATTGATGAACACATGTCTGACTTTAGGCACAAACCTCAGTGAGTAGAGTGAACATACTATAAAGTAGCACCTAGCTGGGGCTATATAGTTTACTGTAGTCATTAAATAGGTATTTTTTAAATGCATGATTTAATTTCAAGGAAAACAGTTTTAGTCTTAATAGATCAAAATAAAAAAATTGTTAAGAGAAGCTTCCTAAGATCTAAAGCCAGAAAAAAGATTAGAATTCAGTTCAAATAGTAGGTAGATGAACCTATCAACAGTTCAAGAGAAGATACAAATCCTTAAATCTGGGAAATAAAGCATAGAAGAAAATCAGTAATGTTTCAGTCAAAAGTCATAAAATTCCATTTCACCAGTTTGGTTTCATATAATTAATCTCTCTGTTGAATTTGTTGAATCTGTTGAATTTGCAGTATTACTGTTGTCTGATCTTTCTATTTAAGTTCTGGAAGTTAACATTCAACATTATTATTGATCTTTCCGGACTTGTCCCTATCATTAAGTTGGCCATTCTCTTGGTTGTTTTTTGCACTCTTATTTCTGTGTGTCTGACTTTAGCTTTCCTGGTATAGCACTCCCTTCAGAATTTCTTGGAGAGCTGGTCTGGCATTGGTAATCTTTCAGGTTTTGTTTATTTGAGAACGTTTTTGTCTTCTTCACATATGAAGGATAATTTTGCCAGGTATAGTATTGGTTGAAATTGTTTTTCACTTAGCACTTTGAATTTATTTTCCCATTTTTTTCCTTGATTGCATTGTTTCTGATTAGAAGTCTGATGTTAGTTTGATGGGATATCCTTTGAAAGTTGGAATATTCACTTTGTAATTGAATGTATAAAAGAACTTGAAATAAAATAAAATAAAAAAGAAAATAAAAACAAAAAAAAGAAAATAACTTGATATTTCTCTCTTGCCAATTTTAGTATCTTTTCTGTCTGTGGTTTTGATAAATCTGGCTATGATGAGCCTTGGAGAAGATCTTCTTGGGTCGATTCTATATGGGGTCGTTTGTATTTCTTGAATCTGAATATTTGAGTGCCTCTCTAGGTTTGGAAAGTTTTCTCCCAAAATTTCATGAAATAGATTATCAAAGCCCTGATTAATTTGTTCACCTTCTGGGATACTGATTATCCAGACATTTGGGTGTTTAATGATATCTAGTATTACTCAAATATTATTCTCATTTTTTTGGGGTTATTTTCTCAGTCTTTTTGGTGAATTTTTCTAGGTCAGAGGTTCTATCTTCTACATCTGAGATTCAACTTCTACATGGTCTAATCTGCTTTGAATTCTTTCAAGGGAGGTTTCTATCTCCTGCATTATAGCCTTCATCTCTAACAATTCTGTTTGATTCTTTTTTATGGTGTATATTTCATCTTTCATATTGTGCAAGAATTTCTTCACCTCCTGGAACTTGCTGTTTCTTTTCTCCTGCATTTTCTGGAGTTTGTTGTCTCTCTTCTTTTGCATCTTTGTTAGCTGTGTCACTATGAATATTCTAAATTATTTATCTGACATTTTCATGAGTTCCATTGTTGTCTGTGGGGGGCAAGGAGTTATTCTTTTCCCTTTAGGGAGAGATATTTTCTTGATTTCTCATATTTCTTGTGCCTCTGTTGTGGTTTCTGGTCATTTGATGGATTATACATTTTTTTTTAATTTGACTTTATTTATTATTAATATCATTATTATTTTTCAGTTTGATCAGAGAGAGAGAGAGGAAGTGAGAAAGCAAGCCACCAGGTCTGAGACTTAAACTGTGGTCGGCCACGTGGGAGTCCAGCGCCTTTAACCACTATACCACTTGCCGGTCACTATACATTTTTTTTTTCCTAATTTTTGGAGTTAAATCTAAGCAGTCAGAGGTGCGTAGGAGGAGGTGACCTGGAATCTCTCAGCAGTACCGTTTTTCCTCCTTTGTACAACAGACTTTGTGGGACTTAAGGATTACGCTGATCCTGGCTAGACCTTGGGGTCAGGAGGGTGAATCTGGCAGAAAATCTTCAGTTACCCTAGTCCCTGAAAGGGACTCAATGTAGATGGCATGTGATTGGCCTGTCCTGGCTAGATCTTGGGGTCAGGAGGGTGACGTCTGGGCTGCCACTGATTTCCTATCCAATCTAATGATGAGAATTAGGAGGAAGAAAGATTTTAATTTTATAGCTTAGAGAAAAACCTGCTATCACCACAAATGATTATTTCCTTAATTTAAAAGACATTTTACTCATTCTTTATCCTGTTTTGCTAACATGCTGTGACTTTGGCTGTATGTGCCATAATTTTATTTGTATTCTGTAAGTTTAGGAAACTCCAAGTTGTGATAATATTAAATATCTTCAGCCCATCTACTCTTTTGAAATCAGTCTCACAAACAACAGACCCTGTGTAATTGTGTTAGTGCTCATCACCCGTGAGATGATAGATCAACTAACTATGACAAAGAAATTGAGGCAAATTTCTCTTTAAAACAATGTAATGGAAGCCAACAAAGATAGCTCAAAACAACTTTACAGTTTACATCATTTTTCATGTATTTATTAAGGCAAAGGGACAAATGTTATTTTTGTATTAATTTTACTTTCATACAGTATTCTTGGAAACATGGATATACTTCTTTAAATAGTTTAAAATTCAGAATTTTCTAAACAAAATAGGTACAGTCATAAATTTTCAAGTTCAGAAGAACCTGCAAAAATTTTTTTTTGAAGCGATCATACTATCTTACTTTCCTACCAACAATGTAGGAGGGTTTGTTTCGCCTCCACTCCCACCAACAGTCATTGACTGCCTTTTTTTTTTTTAATTTAAATAAGTGGTTTTTACCTTAGGGCAAGTGTGCTAACAGGAGACACAGAGAGAGACAATGACAGTGAGAGGAAAAGTGAGAATTTCCCCCCACCCTCCAAGGAATATGACCGTGTCACAATCTCTTTTTATTTTATTTTATTTATTTATTTATTTTTATATTCTTATTTTGCTATAGGGCGTGTGCACTTGCCAGAAGGACAGAGAGAGACAGAGAGACAGTGAGAGATCACCCCCTGGGATGGCCATGCCTCAATCCCTTCTCCTCCAATCTCCTCTTGGGATCCTGGGTATGCACGTACACGTGCCCGGCGTGAGTTTAAGCCACCAGGTCTAGGACTTGAACCATGGTTGATAACATGGGAGTCCAGCGACACAGCCACTACACCAACTGCTGGTCTCCCATGTTGCAATCTCTTCACCTCAATTTTCCTTCTGGGATCTTCGGCACGTAGTGTGATTTTCAAGCCACTGGTTTCAGGACTCAAACTGGTTGATCATGTAGGAGTCCAGCGGCATGCCATCTGTTGACCCTGATTGCCTGCCTTTTGATTAGAATCATTCTAGTGAATGTGAAGGGCTATAGGGCATGTGTGCTCACTGGAGTAACAGAGAGACAGAAAGCGAAGAATCACCCCCCAGGGGGAATGGCCATGCAGCACACCCTTCTCCTCCATTCTCCTTTTGGGATCTTGGGCACACACTCATATATTCTCTGCATGAGCTGCAAGTCACTGGGTTCAAGACTCTAATTACGGTGTGCTACATGGAAATGCAGTGACACAACCACTACTCTATCCATTGGTCTCGTGAAGTGATATTTTACTGTGGTTTTAATTTGAATTTCCCTAATGACTATAGACATTGAGAATCTGTTATTGTGCTTTTTAACCATTTGTGTATCTTCTTCTTATTCTTAAAGATTTATTTATTTAATTCAATTTATTTATTCATTTATTTTAATTTGGCCAGAGAGAGACAGAGAGAGAGAGAAGAAAAGTGAGAGAAGGTAAACTACCAGGTCCAGTACTCAATCTGTGATCAGCCATGTGGGAGTGTCCAGTGTCTTAACTACCATGCCACCTGCTGGCCCCCCGATTTGTGTATCTTCTTTGGAAAAATATTTATTCAGATTCTTTGCCCGTATTTTTAAAAACTGAGTTATTTGTCTTTTTATTATTGTGTCATAAGATTATAAGTTATTTACATATTCTGAATATAAATCTTTTATTAGATGTATACATCACAAATATTTTCTTCTATTCTGTGGGTTGTCTTTTCACTTTCTTAATGATATCTTTTGAAAAATAAGATACAATTTTTAAAAAAGTCATATAATTTTATATATTATTATTATTATAATCTTCTATAGGACAAATGCACGAGAGAGAGAGAGAGAGAGAGAGAGAGAGAGAGAGAGAAACAGAGAGAAACAGAGAGAGAGAGAAAGCTGCTAGGTCAGGGACTTGAATCATGTTTGGCCATGTGGGAGTCCAGTCCTCAATCACCATGCCATTTGCTAGCCCCAAAAGTTTGAATTTTTTAAAGTCCAATTTAGGTACATTTTCTTCTGGTGCTTTCGATTTTGAATGTAAAAAACTATTGCCTAACCTAAGGTCAGGAAGATTTACATATTTTTAAAAAGTTTGTGGTTTTAGCACTTATATTTAAGTTTGCATTCCATTGTAAGTGAAGCAGTGGTCTAAATTAATTCTTCTGAGTGTGAATATTCAGTTGTACTAGCTCCATTTGTTAAAAAGACTTTTTTTCTAATGGAATTTTCTTGGGATGTCTTTTAAATAATCAATTAACTATAAATGTAAATATAATTATTTTAGGACTCTAGATTTTATTATGTTGGCCTTCTTACTGTCCCTATTTTATTACCACAGTTCTTGAATACTGTAGCTTTATAGTAAGTTTTGAAGTCAGGAAGTGTGAGTCTTCTAATATTTTTCTTCAGGATTGTATTGACTATTCTATATCACTTGTATTTCCATATAAATTTTAGAATCTGCTTGTTAATTGCTAAAGAAAAATGGTGGCTGTGATTTTTATAGGGATTATGCTGAATATGTAAGTCATTTTGGATAGTATTGAAATAAAATTTAAAAGGATTTCAATATTAATAATACATAGTATGTCTTCTGACGAAAGGAAATAAAATTAGAAATCAGTACTAGAGGGAGAATTTGGAAAATTCACAAACATATGGGAACTAAAGAAAACATAGCTCCAAATAACTAATAAGTGAAGGAGGATATCACAAAGGAAATTAGAAAATACTATTGGGGGGATAAACAGATGCTGTAATGGTCATGTTGCTGGATTCCTACTTAGTCGACTACATTTCGAGTCCTGGACTTGGTGGCTTAAAACTCACGCCAGGTGTGTGTGCATACATGCCCAAGATCCTGAGAGGAGAATGCAGGAGAAGGGATTGTGGTGCGGCCATCCTCCTGGTGGATGATTTCTCACTTTCTGTCTTTCTGTCTCTCTGTGTCTCTCCAGTGAGCACATGTGTCCTATAACAAAAATCTCTTTCTCCCCCCCTTTTTTTTTTTTTGAGAGGCTTTTTGCTCTAGGGTGCATGAGCTTGCCAGAAAGACAGAGAGAGACAGAGAGACAGAAAGTAAGAAATCGCCCCCTGGGGGTATAGCCACGCTGCAATCCCTTTTCCTCCATTCTCCTCTTGGGATCTTGGGCACGCACACACATGCGTCTGACATGAGTTTAAGCCACCAGGTCCGGGACTCAAACTGTGGTCGACTACATGGGAGTCCAATGACATAGCCGTTATGCCATCTGCTGGTCCCAAAATTTCTCTCTTAATAAAAAAGGAAAAGAAAATTTTGTTGGGATGAATGCACAGGAAAGCCCAAAATATTATACTTACACAATGCAGCTAAAACTGTGCTTCGAGTGCAATATACAGCCTTAAACATTACTATTTTCAAAGAAAAAAGATCACAAATCAATATAACCTAGCCTTCTTTCTTAAGGAAGTTATTTTCAAATGCATTGATGCATTCATTTGTTTTTCTTTTGCTAACTGAAATATTTTGTTAAGCATCCCTAGTGAATTTCATTTGATTTTCTTTTTGACTACGGAAGTTTTTTTTGGTTCTCTCTTCTTTTTAAAGGTTTTCTATAGGCATGTGTGTTTTCTGGAGAGAGGGAGAGGGAGAGGGAGGGGCAGGGAGGGGAGAGAGAGAGAGAGAGAGAAAGAGAGAGAGAGAAATAGGGAGAGAGAAAAGAAAGTGAGAATTTCCCCCATGGGAGGTGGGGTGGCATGCTACAATCCCTTATCCTCTGTTCTCCTCTTGGGATTTTGGGCATGATGCAGATGTGCCCAGCATGTTTCTCAAGCCACTGAGTCCAGGATTCAGACCATGCAGCTAGCTATGCAGATCCAGACACCTTAACTAACATGCTACCTGAGTGGCCCTTTGTTCTCTTTTATATTTCTGTCCCATTATCAATATTCTCTATCTTATGAGACATCATTCTCATACTTTCCTTTAATTCTTTAGGTAATTTCTGTAGTTTTTTCAATATATTTTTAGTAACTGATAAAAAATCTTTACTAAGTGCAATGTCTGAATTTCCCCATATATAATTTCTAGTGACTGCTTTTATTACGATGCATTGGCACTATTTTGTGTGTGTGTGTGTGTGTGTGTGTTGTAATTATTTTTTGTTGTTGAAAACAGCATGTTAGATCCAGCCCAGTGGTATTGTGGTTGGGAGCTGAATCCTACATGACTGACTCTGTTTTGAGTCCTGATCCCTGTCCCTTGGAAAACAGCATGCGTGGATCTGTGCACAAAATCTTGATGGGTTGGAGAAATGTAGGAAAAAGGATTATGGCATGACCACATTCCAAAGGGGGTGCTTTCTCCCTCTTTTTTTTTTTTTCTCTTTGTTTCTCTGTCTGTCTCTCTGAAAAGCACATGTGCCCATTGGCAATAAAAATATGTAGAGGGAAATAAATAAATAATGAAATAAAAATAATGAAAATAGAAAGAAAATCAGATATTTTGAGGGTTGTAATATGTCAACTCCGAAAATCTGATTCTCCACAGTCCCAGGGTTTATTATTGCGACTGTTTTTTCTTACTGACATTACTGGACTAGTTCTGTAAAATCTGCCTTCTCTGTGGTGTGCAGCTTCTGTAGTCTTCTCTGGGTTGGTTCAGTGGTCAACTGATGATTACATAAAGACTTCCTTTAACACTCTGAGCAAGCAAGTCTTCCATCTTTTGCCTAGGGACTCTGCATGTATGTTGGTGTACCCTGAAAACTCAGGCAGCTTAATCGCTTCTATTTACTGATTGTACAAGGCCTAAGTGCAGCCAGAAGTGACAGGGCTTTGCAGTGCCTTCTGTGGACACCTCATTTCTCATTTCATTCTCATTTTTGGTCAATCTCTAGTTCGTTCCACTAATATTGCCTCAGGCAGCTGTGAAGTTAAACAAGTATTGCTGATCAGTTTTTGACAAATGTTTTGGGAAAAGCTTTTTTTTTTTCACTCAAATAAAGAGAAACTCTTTGAGCTATGCTTTTCCAGGGAGCTTCCAAACTGGTCAAATAGTGACAATTAAAAAAAAATACGTATTTCTTGTCTCTTTAAAATTTTTTTTTGAAAAAGTTTGTTCATTTATTGGTTTATTTATTTATTCCTTTCAGATGGGGGGGGGGGGGGAGAGAGAGAGAGAGAGAGAGAGAGAGAGAGAGAGAGAAAGAGAAAGAAAGAGAACCCCTAATAGTCTCGATGCCATGATCGTCCTTCTGCTTCAGCCAGCTCAGACGCACAGAGAAGTGTGCCTGATTTTCTCAGGGAGGTCTCCAGACCTGACTTGGGAACCTTCCCGTTTGGATTGCTTTCCAGAGTGTTCTGTTTTACCACTATATCACCATCTCACCTCCAAATTGTGACAATTCTGTGGAGTTTTCTGAGGAGCTCTGAGCCTAATCTGACCCTTCCAACTATGCTAGTAGTTTTTACGGCTACCAGTGTTGCAAAGCTGCTCTTTTTCAAAGCTTCAGTAGAACCAGAGAGGGTCAATGGGTATAGGCCAGGTTAAAATACCACAAAACTTGCTGAGATCTTGTTACTGAGATTCAGCATCTTTTTCCTTGAATAAACATTTTATAGTTTGTCGTAAGCTGTTTAATCTCAAAAGTCCTGAAAAGTAAATATTGACAATTTTCTATTATCTTCATTGCTTTTATTAAAAAGAATGTTTTTAGATGTCCTTGGTTTGTCATTAGTCTCATCTTTTTAAAGTATGTTTCTGTGCTGTTCATATAAACTTTCCCAACTTCTTTTCTTTTTTTCTTTTTAGATACCTTTGAGATAGCATCTGTAAACTTACCTATTCCTGTGCAAACCAAGAACTATTATAAGAATGTTTCTGAGAACAAAGAGATTGTAAAATTAGTCTCTGTGCTTAGCACAATCATCAACTCCACCAAAAAGGTATGTCAAGAGCCTGGAGTCAGGGTTCTTTGCTTTCCACATGTACCTTTGCAAAGCTGCACATCACAAGCTGGTCCTGCATGCACTATGCTTCTCACCTGCTGCCTTTGGTGAGCCACTAATGCTATCTTACATGGCCTCAGTCATTGCTTAACTGAAGATCTTTCTTTGCAGATTGTAAGATGAAAAAAGATTATTATTGCTATTTTCATATTGTGTTCTGTTTAATACATTTAAATTCTT